GTGTGCTTTTCGGTATTCTGGAATGAAAGTCGACAAATTCTTGACATACTCTCCTCCCGTCCGTCCCTGTTCGGCTTTTTACTCTTGCAAATTCTACGAGCTGTGATAGTCGAGATCGAGAAGTCGATTGATAACATGTGTCGGCTTATTATTGATTTCGATTATCACATACTGTAATGGTGATTCAAGTCCGCTAGGTTACAAGAATGCAGAAAGAAGGCACGCAAAAAGATTCGGCGTCGCATCACCCTATTGTTTTTTCTTGTTTAACATTTATACTTTACATCCATCAAATACAGTTTGATGAAGTTTGACACTTTGCAGAATGGGATGCGGAAGTTCCGGATTCTTACGAGAAGCCAACTGATTCAGCGACATGCCCAACTTCTGCAGAACCTGAACTTAGTGCGGACAAAGTAGGTCGCTTTTAATTTTCCGCTTAACACTAGCAGTGTGGTTGAATTGCATAAGTGCGATTTTGACCAATCTTTGAAAGGCGGCAAGTTATGACCAACTTGAAAATTGCAGTGTCGCTTGAACACACTTTACTCTATCTTTCTTGTGTTCACTTATTTTTCTTGCAGTTCCCTGATTCTCACGAACAAAAAGAAGAAAAAGAAGAAGAAATTGAAGCCGTCAGAGGGGACGACAAGGACACCGAGAAAGATGCATCTGAGATTAGCGACGTAATAACTCCTCTAGCGAAAAAGTTTGAGCGCGTCAAATACGTGGATGGTATGTTATTCTTCCTTCCGATTTCTGTGCTCTTTTCTTGACCACTCCCAAGGTATCCAACAAGGTTAAACGACGCCTGTAGGTCAATCATATGTATGATCGGCTCCCAGATACGTGTTGAGGTGGTTTGCGGATTTCCTTGGATTTTAGGGATAAACTCGGGTCCTCGAACCCACGCTTTTTGTTAGCAAAGATCTACTCGCACACATAGTTTTGCTAGTTGGTTTGTACAGCTGGTTTGCTTCTATAAAAAATGAAAATTCCTAATGTAAGACGAGATGAGGTCTTTTCGGGGTCAGATGATTACATCAAACCATACATGCAATAGAAGATTCAATGGGCTCTGGATAGAAGGTTGGTGGGCGATGTTTGAATAGCATAATAATGATTAATACGAACTGTTACTTTTGTAGATGGTCAGTATGTTCAAGGTTCAGGACATGCAAGGCGTGCTTCCATCGTTTTGAACAAAAAGGTC